GCCGGCCCAGGAAAGGATTTCTTAAACAAGATACAAAAAATATAATCCATAAAAGAAAAGATTAATAAATCTAACTTCACTGAAATTAAGAAATTTTGGTCATCAAAATAATAAAATGACTATCTAAAAGTAGGAGATGATATCTGCAATATATATAACCAACAAAGGATTAACATTCAGAATATATGAAGAATTCCTACAGATTAATGAAAGGAAGTCAGGCAACACAACAGAGAAATAGGCAGAAGACTTGAATCGGCCCTTTGGAGAAGGAAATCCTAATAGCTAATCAACATATAAAACGGCAGTCAACCTTATCAGTAATTGGGAAAATTCAAGTTAAAACCAAACAGATATCACTATACACCATCAGACTGGCAAAGTTGTAAAGTCTGACAATCCCAAGTGTTAGCAAAAAGTAGGACAAAGAAACTCTCATATCCTGCTAATGAAAGTGTAAACTGATAAATCACTTTGGAAAAAAAAGTGCTGGCAGCTATCTACTAAAGTTTAAGCTCTGTCACCAAGCAATTCCTCTCTTCAGTAAATTCTCAAAAGGAATGCATGCTTATATATACCAGGAGACATGTACAAGAATTTCATAACAGCATTGCTCATAACTACGCCAAACTGAAAATTGACCAATGAATAAATAAATGGTGGTATATTCAAATATTATATATCAGTGAGAATGAACAAATATGTGACAATGTAAAGGAACCTTACAAACATAACACTGGGTAACCAAGACACTAGAAAATAACTACAGTATGATTTCATGTAACTAAAATTCAGAAATAGGCAAAATTAAACTAAGATATTTAGGAATACATAAATAGGTGGTAAAACAACAAAGAAAGAAGTAAATGCTTACTGTAAAAGTCAGGATTACCTCTGTGAGGGTGAGAGGGAGAACAGTGATCAGAAAAGGGAGGGTTTGCTGGCAATATTCTATTTCTAGTTTCACGAACCTCTGCTTTATAACTATTTACTGAACTGCACTATTTACTGAACTATTTACTGAACTGAAAGTTTATAAGTTTGTATAAACTTTATAGATGTATAATATTTTGCAATAATAAAAGGTGTGTTAAAGGCACAGGGCAAAACAATATGTATAGTATAAATTCATTTTTGTTTTTTAAACTAAACTATTATGATTACATATAAAAAGATATGGAAGGGC